TTGGGCCAAAATTTTGAAAAAATATTTCATTTTTTATCCTTTAACAAAAACAAATGTTTTCTTTGTTTAATTAAATTAAAATTTCAAATTATTGCAAATTTGTGGCCAGTTTTTGTTTCAATTATTATTTATTTTTTATCAAACTTTTCTAACAATTGCAAGATCTATTATTTTTTCTACTTGTAAGTTAAGGTTTTTGCAATTTTTTTTCAAATGTGCTCAGTTTCAAAATTATTAAAATTTTTGGAGTGCTAAATGCTATATTAGTTTATTCAATTTTTTTTGAGAAAAAAATTACTAAGAACAAATTTTTTTCTCTTTTAGTAACTTTAAAAAAACACTATTTTTTCGAAAATTGTGACAAAAACTAACATTTTTGTATCAGACTTATCTAAATATTTCAAGGTCTATTATTTTTTTCACTTGTGAATCGACGTTTCTGCACTTTTTTTTCAAATGTGCGGTTTAAAAATATTTTTAATTTTTTGAGTGCTAAATGTTGTATTGGTTTATTTGATTTTGAATGTAAAATTTTTGTTTTTTTCCTTTCTGTTGACCCAAACAAGCAAATTTTGGGCCAAAATTTTGACAAAATACTTCATTTTTTATCCTTTAATAAACACAAATGTTTTCTTTGTTTAATTTTTATTAATTTTTGCTAAAATTTCAAATCATAGCAGATTTTTGGCCAGTTTTTGGGCCACTTTGTCAATAAATTCAAACGTGCTCAAGCACTGATCCTCCTTGAACTCCTTCCCGAAGACACAAGGTGCCAAATCCCTCGTAACCAACCCTTGTTCAACGGTCGAAATGGTACTTTTTTCCAAAATTTGGGCAAAATTATCCAATTTGGTGTTTTGGTCCAGTTTTGCCCGATGTTGAAGGCCTCTAGTCCAGGCAAAAATCGACGAAATTGGGTTCGTCGAAACTTTGCCACCTTTCTGGTACTCACTTCAAAATTCAATTGAATTAGATTAAAATTAATTGGGATTTGGGTACCGGTAATGTCGGGTCACGGTACCATGAGCCGGTTCAGTCATCACCGTTTTACCATCATGGGATATCAAGCTGTGGATCATCAAACCCATGGAACCAAATCCTTGCCCAACGACGTCCGAAAGGACATCACCATCGTAGCTTTTCAAGGCCCAGAGGAACCCACCGGGGGATTTGAGGGCCTGGGCGGCCATATCGTCAATTAAGCGTAATTCAAAAGTCAAGTTGGCGTGGGCAAACTTCGATTTAAAATCCCTGCAAAAATTTTTCCAAAATTTACCATCAAAAAAAACCAAAATTGCAACTTCTCAAAAACGTCCAAAAAAACTTCATTAAAAAGTTTGTCATAATGTTTCAAAAGAGTACTTTTGGTGGCGAAATACACCGGAAGTTGGCGTTCCAAAGCCATCCGGAAACAGGAAGTTGCAAAACTTCGAATACTCTCCTCGGTGTTGAACATCACCATTGCAACTCCGCGATTTTTATAATCGAAAACTTCGATTTTTTCCTCTTGGTCTTCGGTTTTGACTGTGAGAAAAATCTGAAATTTGAGTTTTTCAAAAATTTTGATTTTGGAAAAGGAGTACTTTTGACGCTTTTTCGATAATCAAGTCTTTGCCGCCGTATTGGTCGCCGAAGGTGTGTCGACCCATGATGATGGGTTTGGTCCATCCAGGGACGTACTTAGCCACATTGCCACAAATGACGGACTCCCGGAATTGCGTCCCGTTGAGGGCGTTTCGGATCATGCCGTTTGGGCTAGGCCACATCTGCGTCAAATTAAATTCTACAAAAAAAAATTGACTAAATTAAAAAAAAATTCTAACCTTTTACTCGTTCCTCATCTGGGGTTATCGTCGAGCATTTAATCCCAACATTGTGTCTCAAAATTGCCACCGCTGCGTCTTTTGAGACCTGATTTTTGGTCACATTTCTGAAATTTTGGCTCAAAAAAAGAAGAAAAAAAAGAAAAAAGTACCGATTTTCGAGGCCACAGTCGTAGTATTCCCTCTCAAGCTCGACGAAAGGCAAAATTAATTTCTTTTTGATTTCGTCAAAGATTATTTTGGTCATTTCGTCACCGTCGATTTCGACAATTGGATTCGAAACTGCGATTTTAGTGGCATCTAAAAATTCCTTAGTGCTTGAAAATCAATGAAAAAACTTACAATTATTATTAGTTAGACGAAAATACAGAAAGTCCATTGGACTTCAAAGAGTTTGGATTAAGTTACTTAAAACTTAAAATCGAAAACAAATTTTGTACAACTAAATTCTAAAAATTAAAAAATTGAGTTTATTTGACTTTTCAGAGTTTGGACAATATGTTGCAACAAAAACTTTTATTTTAGAAAAAAAATTAAACACTAGGTGTGAAGACAAAAATCTCAGTTGGCGATGGTGAAGTCTATTGGGCTTTACATAATTTGGACTATCTACAACTTAAAAACTAAAAATAACATAAGAAAAAAAATTAGACTTTATAGAATTTGGACTAAAATGTCACAACAATTTAGAAATCTAGAAAAAAACTATAAAGACACCCAACCAAATATGATGAAGTCCACTGGACTTCTCAGAGTTTGGACTCTATGTTGTAACAAAAACTCTTATTTAAAAAACACAAAAAATTCCAGTTGGCGATATAAAGTCTATTGGACTACCTACAACTAAAAATTTAAAAAAACACTAGAAGAATATATAGAAAAGTTCATTGGACTTCAAAGAATTTGGACTAAGTTTTAACTAAAACCGAAAACAAATTTTGTACTACATTACCATTGAATCCTAAAAATTCAAAGAAAAAAATATTCAGAAAAGTCCACTGGACTTCTCAGAGTTTGAACTACTTTAAAAAAAAAACACTAATAATACAAAAATATGAAGTTTATGTAATTTTTATTTTTTTTTA